GACGTAAACGGCTTGTTTGAAGAGTTTGGTGAGCCATATGATCCAGCTGAATGGCGTTTATTCATCGATAGCAGCAAGTTGAGCTTGAAAGCCGTTTTACTGCATCAAGGAAATGAGAAACCTTCTATTCCATTAGCTCATGCCGTTAATATGAAGGAAACGTATGAATCAATGGCTCTATTGCTCAATTTGATAAATTACAATCAACACAATTGGAAAATTTGTTCCGATCTTAAAGTGGTTGCCATGTTGACTGGATTGCAACAGGGATACACAAAATATATGTGTTTTTTTTTTGTGTAAATGGGACAGTCGAGCTCGTAAGGAACACTACGTCCGAAAAGATTGGCCAAAACGGGATAATTTCACAATTGGTAAAGACAACGTTAAAAATGATCCTCTTGTGGTAAAAGAACGCATAATACTTCCACCACTTCATATAAAACTTGGGCTATTCAAAAATTTCGTCAAAGCGTTGCAAAAAGAAGGGCCGGCATTCCAGTACTTGAAATCAGTATTTCCAAATTTATCTGAAGCAAAGATAAAGGAAGGTGTATTTGTTGGCCCACAGATCAAAAAACTGCTCAATGATTCCGCATTCAATACAGTTTTGACACCAGATGAGGAAGAAGCGTGGAAATCGTTCCAGCGTGTTGTCACAACCTTTTTTAGGAAATTTCAGAAGCCCAGATTATGAGGAAGCCGTCGATGAATTGCTCAAAAATTATGAGAAAATAGGTATAAATCAAAAATATTGTGTTTGTTACATATAATTAATTTCAAATCCTTTTATTTCACTGAACACAGGTGTGAATATGTCTTTGAAGATACATTTCCTACATTCTCACATGGATTTTTTTCCCGGAAAATCTTGGTGACGAGAGTGATGAGCACGGCGAACGTTTTCACCAACAAATGAAGATGATGGTACGTTGTTACCAAGGGTTTTGGGATGAAGCAATGATGGGTGACTATTGTTGGTTTCTGATTCGAGAAACAAGTTCAAAACATCGAAGACAAAGTCATTCGATTCTCAATCATTTTTAATAAAACCTAAATAAATTTCTTTTGTATCAACTCGGTTTTAAATCCTGATATGCCTTAATCAAATTGATATGTAGAGAATCTCCCATGAAAACTTTACATGCGATTTGGATGCTTACAACGACACCTAGAAAAGGAACTCTAAAGCTGTTGTATTTCAGCAACATTTTTAAGTGTTTTACAAAAATGCTCATAACTTCGACAATTTCCAACCGATTTCATCCATTAAAGGCTCATTTTCTCCGGTTTTGAATGGACTTTAAGAATAAATTATGGAATGATTTTTTGAATCTTTTTATCCCATTAAAAATGTTGATTAAAACAAGATTTTTATGGAAAATTCGCAGGGAAAATAAAAAAAAAATGCTGTAAATTTTTAAATGACTTCAAAATTAAATTTTTAATTAAGACATAATATTCTAGTGAACGACAGCAAATTTATTTAGCTTCATTTTCATATAAAAAAAGATTTAAAATTGGTGCACTAGTTCCAAAGATATTGACATTTTAGTAATCGTACTTTTGTCCAAAATTCAAAAAATCAAAATTTTTGTGTATCTCAAAAATGGCTCTACTTTAATTTTTTCTGACCACGGCATTGAATTCAGCGTAGGATTTTGCATTGGAAATGATCATCACCTTACCGAGTTCAAAAATGCTGTAAACTAGTGTTATTTTTCTAATTAAATTAATCACAAATACATGAATTGAAATCTTTTCATGAATAAAACATACTAAGTGATTTTTACTTAGTTTACCTGTTGATTTGGAACAATTTGAGGGTGGTTTTATAGAAGTTGGATAGAGTGTATGCATATATTATAATACAATCCATCACAGGAAAGTGCAAACCATGCTGAGATGGCTGTTCCTCATTAGAACGTTTTGTTCTGAACTCTTATTGGACGATTTGCAGGTAACTTCTCTGTACCCTTTTCAAATGTTAGGCTAGATTTCGCCCAGATTATCGAAAAGTATACCCATAAAGTTTAATCGAATTTTAATAAGGTTGTGCGCGTATTACTATTCGACTTTGAGTGAAACACGCTAAAAAAAATTAACATGAAAAAGTTGTTGTTCGAACAACTTTTTTTCCTTAAAAGCGCCCACTTTGCGATGTATGAAGAAAAGTTAGGTAATTATATTGCCTTTCATGAGAAAAAATATCAAGCAAATCTGAGGGGTACCATTTTTGGGAAAATGACTCTTAATTTTTAAATATATTTTTTAGAGTGTAGAAACCGATTTTTTATTTTATTTAAATTGTTTTATAAAATTTCAGATTATTTGCTAAAAGTTCGCCATACATCACTTTTTTGTAGGGCTTGTCATTTTTAAGCTATATCGATTTGAAAAAAAAATCGACAAAAAACTTTGACCCTTATCAAATGTTAGGCGAGATAAATTTTGAAAAAAATAAGTACGCAAAGTTGCTTAAAATTGCTAAGTCTATACACCCACAAAGTTCCATAAGGTTCTGAGAGGGTGCTGCCAACCACTGGATGAGTTGGCGTGAAATCCGTCACCTGTTTATTCATTTCCGTTTTTGGTTGCCCCAAAATACAGAACCGTACATAACTGTACGACTGTAGGTTGGCATCTATACCTACAGCTTGTTTTTTTTTTGTTTATTTAACATGCACCTTCAAACACAAATGGAAGCGAGACCAGATTACCAACAAGTTGCACAGAGCCATCAATCCTTCACCCTCATACCTTCTATGTATGTACTTACACTTTTTTCCGCAGCCAGCTAAGCCGTTCTATTTGCTTAAACTATTTTCGAGCAGGTATGGACAAATAACCCATAGAACCCATAGAAGGAACGAGTGGCTTAAAGTCAATTTGATACGTGCACTGATGTCACACCTCGATGTGATGACGGGAGTTGGCTAATAGTTGCGATTTTGGAACTGGCCTATCGGAAGTTCATTCCTAATCCAGCGAGTTGATTGATTGATTAGGGGCGTAACAGAGGAAACCAGGCAACCAAGAATGGCAGAGAATCAATCGATATCAATGCTGGATTGGCTGGTCATTAAAGCTTCACGATCGCTGGAAGTTATTGGCGATCGTTAAATGGTGCCTGCGCCCAGTCGTTTGATTTGTTGGAAAGGTTTTGTAATTGTTTACGACGCTAGGATTTAGTTGAAGAATACATACTGTTGGGTTGCTAAGAAAACTGTTAAGATCTCTGATATCGTTATTCCCATGTATTGTAAGCTTTGGGTGGGCACTATCGGCTAGCAAATCACGTCCGATCATTCTTCAAAAATTCAAGAATTTTAGTTTGCAACAACACAACACACACAATAAATTAAATGGCAGTTCGTGCATTGTATTAATTTGAACGAATTCATAAAACTTAATACTAAAAACGTACATTTCAGACAAATTTTATAGAACTTCGTGTATCTCTGTTGTTTGAAGGTTACAGGTTTTATGTTTCAAGTATTTTGACGCACGACTACGTCTGTAATTTCTATATGGGAGTACACTTTGTGAAAACCGAAAATGGAACGTGTAACAAAATTATGAAAGATTTTGAACGTTTATAACTCAGCTGCCCCTGGACCAATTTCAATTTTTTTACGTAGGACTACGTCTTTGATTTCTATATGGTGGTACACTTTGTGAAAAACGAAAATGTTACAAATTAAGAAAGATTTTTAACGTTAATAACCCTGGTCCAATTTCAATAATTTTATCACCAATCGATCAGAAATATGGCTACGCATCGATAACAATGCATTCCGAATGTTAATTTTCAACAAGAAACTATTGAAAAACTGGTAAATGTCCAGCATTGTCCAAAAGCGACGAATTAACTAACAAATCCACCAATTACCTACATGCATATGCTGCTTCCCCAGCACAGTCGTCAGAGAGTAGTAAATTCGTGCTTATTGGTTGAGCTGGTTGTGCTAGTGAACTAGCATAAGTGTAAACACTCCAGTCGTTAAAAAATCCAGGACAGTCGAAAGACCAATCGGGAACAGTTCCGCAAAAATATTCGATGGAAGTGAAGCTTTTAAAAGGTGGTTAAATTACTCTGTACTTTGTAAATCGTTTTAAAGAAGTTAAAAAATTAACATTCTAATGAATAAATGTCATGAATTAACTTATTGCCTTTCTGAACTTTGAACGAAAATATCAGCTGTTTTCCATTTCGCGGGAAGCCAAAAATAGCCAGGAAATTGTAACACTAGTTATCAGTTCCTTAGCTTGATTTCCTATGATTAATGAAACTGAGGCCTTCAGAAATATATGTAAACAAAACTCAGTCAACTGTTATACACCCTATATCCATCAGCACTGCCTGTACACAAACAGTATCAACTCAAAACAAACACACAGTTGACGAGGAGGCTGGCTAATCTTGAACTTGCAGGCACACTTCAAGGTGATAAAACTGTAACCATTTATTGCACTATGTATGACCTAACGACCGACTTGTGACAATGTACCTGCAAAGCAAATTTAGCAGCAGTCTGTTGATAACATGCCGGTCGTCGTCAGTCAGTGGGCTGTAAGGCACAGAACAGATTAACAAGTGAACCAGTTGACATCGAACCCTTCAGCGAAGTAGAATAGCATATTTTTTTTTGCGAAGCAATCGCATGCATCTGTGGAACAACGCAAAGTGTTTAGGTTTTAGAAAGTCGTCGAGCTCCAAACATATCATCATGACCGATTCCAGCCCATCAACATCTGCGGAGGTCATTAGTTTTAGCCGCACTGACTGACTGACTGACTGACTGTGGCTTAGTAGGAAATGGGCCAGAAAATAACGATTTCCTCGTTTTCCACGCCCGGTTATGAGACTGTTCATTGTTAGAAACTTGAGCAAATTGATTAACCAGGCCAGCAGCAGCAGCAGTCCTAAATAGCATATAATACAAAAATCAGAGGCGCGACTGTTTTCATCTTGTTTCTTCTTTCTCTTCCACTTGCAGAGTGCGCAAAACCGCCTGTATATCAAACGGGGTCACGTGGTGAATCATGATGGCATGCAGCAAGCGGATATCTACATCGAGGACGGAACGATCAGGTATGACCATCTCTAATATTATAATCTAAGCAGTAGGTAGTGACGACGGTGCAACCATAATATAACGGGTGGCCGCTGGAGACGACGCGAATTGATGGGTTTTACAGTTGAATCGATCACCGGCATATCCGGCGGACACTTTGGGCTTTCTTCTGGGCTGAGGTATTTGTCATTTGGATTTTTACCGTTGCAAGAATTACGTATTAAGCTAAAGCTTATGGTGGTGTTAATACCTTACAGTCCTTCTCCCTATGCCGTATTACTTCTTCACTATTGGATACAGTTATTATAAAATCGAGTATCAGGTATCCAACCGGTACTACAAATGGGTACAGCACTGCATCGAATACCAGAGGGTTCATTAACTGACAAATCCCCAAGGGTGCAAAGTGCATGGCGATGCTGTGACATAGCACGCCTGTCCCGTTGCTGAAAAGCGCGCATGTTCACCGCATCGCACCGCACTTTGTACCCTTGGGGTTCGGTCAGTTCATCCGGAAATTTATTTATTTTTATTCACTATTACGAACAGTCAAGATTCCTATAGCGCGGATTCGTTCTTGCCGGATTCCTATAGTACTGATGCCACTGGATTCCTATAGTACGGTCGATCCGCTATTAAAAAATACACGTAGCATATGGGATTAGATGATGTCTGATGTCTTTTGAGAAGTTGTTAAGCAGAAAGTTGGCCACCTTTTGGGACGATTAAGTTTCCGGTAGGACACAAGTCTGGTCCTGTGGAAGATCCGGAATATCCGTAAAATGGAGGGTCTTATCAGAATGAATTCGGAGTTGTGACCGGATTATGGGCCCTGGGGACCACGGGATGATTCACCGGAAGATCCGGAGCATCTTTAATTCATGAAACTGATCATAGAGCTCTGCGGTTTTTTTTTTCTAAACAACTCATAGACGTATTATCAAAATTAATTCTGAGTGTTGACCAGAATATGAACTCTACGGACTACAGAATGGTTCACCTATAGATCCGGAACTTTCGTAAAAATGGTTAATTCATTAAACTGATCCTGTAGCTCCGTGGATTTGTTGAATCCTCTCATAGACGTCTTATCACAATAAATTCGGAGTTGTATTCGGAAAATGTACTCTGGAGACCACGGGATGGTTCACCGGAAGATCCGGAACATCCTGAAAAGTAGTTAATTCATGAAACTGATCCTAGAGCTCCGTGTTTTTTCCAAACCGCTCACATACGTCTTATTACAATTAATTCGGAGTTTGGACTGGAATATGCCCTCTGGGAACTACAAGATAATCCACCGGAAGGTCCGGAACATCCGTAAAAGTGGTCAATTCATGAGACTGATACTAGAGATCCGTGAATTTTCCGAAACACTCATATACGTCTAATCAGAATGAATTCAGAGTTGTGACCTGAATATGGTTCAATAGAAGATCCGGAACATCCGTAAAAGTGGTCAATTCATGAAACTGATCCTAGAGCACCATGTTTTTTTTTTTCGAAACCGTTCATAAACGTCTTATTACAATTATTTCGGAGTTTTGACTGGAAAGTGGACTCTGGGGACTACAGGATGGTCCACCGAAAGATCCAGAACATCCGTAAAAGTTGTCAATTCATGGGACTGATCATAGAGCTCGGTGAATTTTGCGAAACCACTTATAAACGTTTTATCAGGAAAATTGACCTTTGGGACCACGAGATGGTTCACCAGGATTATCCTGAACATCCTTAAAAAATTTCAACTCTTGAAACTGAGCTTAGAGGTCCACTTTTTTCGAAACCACTCATTGGCGTCTTATCAGAATTAATTTGGAGTTATGACCAGAAAATTGTCCCTGGGTAACAATGCTCAATGGTCCCAAAGCCGTATTTATGAAGACAAAAATATTAGCACCCAAACCATCACTTTTAGGTATATGGTGTTTCTTCGTATGGGAAGAGTTTCTTCGTATTTTTTGGCCGATTTGAAATTAGGGTGGTCCTCAAAATTCAACCTTGAGATAGACAAATGCAGTGTTCTAAAAAGTTGTAGAACAATCAATTTGAACCAACTTTGCTCATGGCATCAAATTTTTATCTCTTTTGGTTCATGACTTATGATAATTTTAAAGGAGTAGGTTAGAGTGGCCCCTAGAAAATCGGCATTCTTTAAATATTTTTATTGGTGATCAACGTATAAAAAATATTTAAAGAAAGGCGATTTTCTAGAGGCCACCCTAACCTCTCCTAAAAACTTTGCTGTAAATATTTTTAGAACTTTTTATGACGCATATTTATGCAGAAGTCACTAATTTGATATCTCCTTTATTTTAAAAGTTATGGCAAGTTTTTGATAAAAAAAATGATTTTTTTTAATTAAATTAAATACTTTAAACAAAAAACGCTCTCACAGTTTTTTCACCAATAATGAAAAAACACAATCTTTTAAATGAAATCAAAAGTTTGAAAATTGGTTTGCTCCATAGACATTGTCATTTTAATTGAACCATTTTTTTCGCAGAAAATCTCCATTAATTTTCTAATAATAAAAAAAGATAGCAGCCTGGTTGCTTCAGCAAAAATATGCGTCATTATAAGTTCTAAATGTAACCAAAACAAGGTTTTTACGAGAATAGAACTTATGAAAAGATAAAGGGTGATACGGTCAAAATTTGGTCAAGGGAAAACGCGTGTAAATCGGTGAAATCGTTTATTTAAAAAATCAAATTTAATTTCTTTTTCAAGTTCAATTAGTATAAAATTCAGGAAAAATATTCAGTTAGGCTTCCGCTTTTCCAAATCCGAATTGCCGGGCCTTACGCTTGACCCCTGCCATCAGATTTTGTACAGCCACCTTGTCCACCTTCTTTGCCGCAGAAAGCCAGTTTGCCTTGAACTCTTTAGGTTCCGCTTGACAATAGCCCAGTATTTCTCAATTGGGCGGAGCTCTGGCGTGTTGGGAGGGTTCTTGTCCTTGGGAACCACCTGCACGTTGTTGGCGGCGTACCACTCCATGGCCTTTTTACCGTAATAGCAAGATGCCAAATCCGGCCAAAACAGTACGGAACAACCGTGTTTCTTCAGGAAAGGCAGCAGACGTTTATTCAAACACTCTTTCACGTAAATTTCTTGGTTGACAGTCCCGGAAGCTATGAAAATGCTGCTTTTCAAGCCACAGGTACAGATGGCTTGCCAAACCAGATATTTTTTTGCGAACTTTGACAGTTTCATGTGCTTGAAAACATCTGCTACCTTTCCCCTTCCTTTTGCCGTATAAAACTCCTGTCCCGGAAGCTGCTTGTAGTCGGCTTTGACGTAGGTTTCGTCGTCCATTACCACGCAGTCAAACTTCGTCAGCATCGTCGTGTACAGCCTCCGGGATCGCGCTTTGGCCGTCGTATTTTGTTTATCATCGCGATTTGGAGTCACTACCTTCTTGTAAGTCGATAGTCCGGCTCGTTTTTTGGCTCGATGCACGGTTGTAGACGATACACCCAGCTTATTTGCGGCATCTCGGAGAGAGAGGTTAGGGTTTCGCTTGAAACTACCGGCAACTCTCTTTGTCGTCTCAGCGGCTTCCGGTTTTCGATTTCCCCCCGATCCAGACTTCCTGGCTGTCGACAAATGTTCCCCAAACACTTTAATTACATTTGTAACGGTTGATTTGGCAACTTTTAGCGATTTTGCCAACTTTGCGTGCGAGTAGCTCGGATTTTCGCGATGCGCGAGCAAAATTTTGATACGCTGCTCTTCTTGCTTGGACGGCATTTTGACAACTGAACAGAGCTGCCAGGTGGTTTTATAAAAAATCTGTATCCACTCTATTAAAAAATCTGTATTTTCTGTATTGACGATTTTTTTCTTAATTGATCATGTTTTGTTGTTTTACAAATACGGTGCATACAAAATAACCATAAAAAGTGCTTAACCACCTATTCGGGCTATCGTACTAGCCATACGGGATATAATTGCGCCATTTGTGATATCGTCCGTACTTATTTATAAGAGTTATATGAAGCCGTTTGAAAATGTATGGAGATTTTAGTTTCTATTCATTATCTTCCTGATAAGCAGTTTTAAATGCAAAAAAGTGCACGAGTTCATTACTATTTGATATTTTTAATATAGATGAATACAATTAATTACATCATTTGTGTGGTAGTTACACCGAAAAGTCGAGAGATGTCGCCCCGCCAGTGCTGGTAAAATCATTTTTGCAGTATGGAGAATATCAGAAAATCCGCAATTTCTTACGAAATACATTTTCAATGCTAGTAAAATGTTTACGAGTACTTGTATTTGTACCATTTTAATGTGCTCGGGCACTTTTCTTGTATTTAACATACATGCTTATATTGGAAATATTCAATTAATACTGTAAATCCCCATACAATCTCAAATCGTTTACTACCAGCTCCATATGCATCCGAAAGCGGTTGGTCCTCTGGTTGTGAATGCTGTCAAAAATACCATAACATGATTAATTGTCGATGGAAATTTGATAGGTTCCCGAGCAGAGGGTGAGAACAAAATGAAAACAAGAATTATGTTGTTTTCATTATTCCTGATAACTCAAATTGATTTCATTTTGATGGAGTTGATGGCTAACAGAACAAAAATGAGAGCTAAAAGATATGCGAAGAATATCAAAATTATAACATATATTGATATTAGTGAGAACTGCTTGATAACTTATTTTGATATAGATTTTTTTTTCTCAAGCATTTTATAAAAATCTGTATAAATCTGTATTGTAATTTAAAAATCTGTGATAAATCTGTATTCTGTATCGGGTCTGTATTAAGATTAAAAAATCTGTATAATACAGATATATCTGTATAAATGGCAGCGCTGCAACTGAAGAGTGAATTCCAAAATCAAAATAGGAGCAACATTCTACACATACACACCTTCAAAATGAGGGGTGTTCAGGTTTTTTAAATGCAAAATTGAAAGAAATACGTCAAGTTGATATTGACCAAATTTTGACCGTATAACCCTTTATTCGAAGAAATCTGTTTTTAGGGGTCAC